GGGGTGGCACCACCCACCATGGGCTGGGGGATGGTCCTTCCCTCCACTAATTACACATATGCCCTGCAGACTCTCCTGCAGCATGGTCTTGTGGAAACATTTTCTTTTTTTAAAAAGATTTATTTATTTATTATGTATGCAGTGTTCTTCCTGCATGTATCCCTGCAGACCAGAAGAGGGCACCAGATCTCATTACAGATGGTTGTGAGCCACCATGTGGTTGCTGGGAATTGAACTCAGGACTTCTGGAAGAACAGCCAATGATCTTAACCCCTGAGCCATCTCTCCAGCGCCCCTCCTTTTTTTTTTTTTTCCCTACATTTTCTTAATTGAGGTTCCCTCCTAGATGACTATACCTGTGTCAAGTTGACAGAAAACTATGCAGCACCCCGAGAAAAGCTCGCTATACTCATTGTTCATTTCCTTTCAAGTTTAGGGTGATGGAATATGCCATAGTTCTTCAAGCATCCCACTGGTACTTCAGAGGTTGGGAGTAGAAGCTGTGGGGGATTTAGGGGCGTGTGCTAGTCAGGTCTAGGTTGTGTCAAGTTGGCAAGAGAGAACCTTAGTTAAGGGATTTCCTCCATCATTTTGGCCTGTGGGTGTGTCTGTGAGTCATTCCTCGATTGTTCATGACAAGGGGGTGCCTGGCCCTGGGTGGGCGCTCCTCTGTTGTATGTGGAAGGCAGCTGTGCAACCACGGAGAGCAATCAAGTCAATAACCGCGATGCTCCCCAGCCTCTGCTTCGGTTCTGGTCCAGAGCCTTCTCTGCGTTCCTGCCCTGGCTTTCCTTCATGATGAGCTGAAAAGCCTTTCTTCCCCAAGTGGATTGCGCCAGTGTTTTATCACAGCAGCAGAAACCCTCACTAGGCAGCGAGTCTTGCATGGCCGGTGTCACACTTGTAGTCTCAGGGTTGCCTACAGGAGCCTAGTCAGGGAGGCCAGGCTCCGGCTTTGTCTGTATTTCATGGTTTTAACTAAACGCTGTTAATAAGTAGATGGATCTGCTATAAAGAATCACTTTTCTCATGTAGAAAGTTACCAGTGGCATGCAGAGGCCATCGTGTGGGGGTCCGGGGGCTTCCCAAACCAGATTGTGAGCTGAGGCTGTGAAAGGATTTCTTAGCAGTTGTTAAGAACAAATGTGTACCAACAAGTGTGATAGAGGAGAGAGAAACATAAGCATTGCTGGACATGCACTTCTACCAAGATGAAATCCTGAAGGAGGAAACCTGAGCGGACACTTGCGTGCTTCCCAGTTTAACCATCAGGAAATAGAAAACCCGTGAGCAGATCAGTACGCAGCGGAAGCTTGAGTCAGAGTGAATACCAAGAGCACGGTGTGGTGACTCAGTCCTGCGAACCTACTGTCAGGAAGTTGAGGCAGGAGGAATCACTGTGAGTTTTAGGCTAACTTGGGCTGTGAAAGAGAGATCTGTTTCTAAAATGAAATGAATAAATGGTAAGCCTTAGGGCCAGGCAGTTTTACTGTTGAACATCATAAAAACAGTGAAGACCACTTCTTTAGTTATTCCAGGAAGTTCAAGAGGAAGGATTTCTTCTCAGTGTACTTCACAAGATCACATTCCTTTAACGTCGAAGCCGGGCCGGGGCACAAGGATGAACTGGGTAGTGAGATGGCTCATTGGGTGGAGGTGCTGTGCACAGTCCTGACAGCCTGAGTGTGACCTTGGATCCTGAAAGGTAGCAGGAGAGAGCTGACACCAAGGCTGTGTTCTGATCCCACATGCGTACTTGCACTCACACACGTATGCATTAAAACCAGAATGATTAAATACGAATCAAGAAAGAATAAAACTGTAGGATATTATCTTTGAACCTAGATTTCAACAAAACACTACCAGTTCCAGTCTATGGAATATTACAAAGATATGCACTGTGATCAAGTAGAATTTATCGCAGGCATGATTCAGCATCTGTAAATTAATATGTATATTAAATCAACCAGTGAAGAACAAAACTATATAGTTCTTTATATAGAGGAAGAGCTTGGTAAAAGTCAGCATTCTTTCATGGTGAAAACAGCGTTAGATATTAGATACAGAAGCAATGTACCTGAACGCGATCCAGAAGACAGGCCGCAGCTGTCACTGTCTCTCATGGTGAAAACAGCGTTAGATATTAGATACAGAAGGAATGTACCTGAACGCGATCCAGAAGACAGGCCGCAGCTGTCACCGTACTCGGGAAATGCTGACAGCTTTCTAAGGTCTGTAGCAAGTCAAAGGCCTCTGCTCTCACCACTTTCATTGCTGGAAGTCTTGGAGTCATCAGAGAAGCAAAAGAAGTGAGATATTCGAGTTACAAAAGAGGACGTCGCATTGTCACACTTGCCACAGGACCTTCGGTATAGAAAACCTTAAAAGCGCTCTCGACCTTCTGAGACCAGAGACACAAATTAAGCAACATTGCAGGACATGACACTGTCGGTGGTGC